TCCCCCCCAGCCCCCCGCAAAGTTTCAAGAGGTTTTTTGCCATTGACTTCAATGGCCCCATTGGTTATAATGGACCCGAATTTTTTCGGGATTCCCGAATTTTTTCGGGATTTTTTTTTCGGGATTCGGAAAAACGCATAGGAAGCCATTTCGGTATTGCAAAAGCCGAAAAATGTTATTTTCGGCTTTTTTTCGGTTCGGGATCCCGAAATGCACATCCCTAGTTTGAAGCGCCTGCCTTAAGTAGATGTTAAAATTAGGATGGGCTCTTTATCTTAGGTGTCCTCGTTCTCGATAAAGATCCTCTATTACCTTGAGGGTTCGCCCGGCTCTCTAGGCCAGCCGCATGGTCCAAAAATGGCTGCCTGCTCCCAGCCTCAGGGAAGAGGTCCAGCTCAGCATCACCCCAAGGAGAAGAGAGGCCTCCTTCCCCTTGCAAGGCGGTTTTAATAAGCCTGTGTCTCCTGCCCCTTGACCCTGGACAGCCCAGGTCAGGGCGTCTTTTCCTGTGGTCTCCAGGGAGCCCCTTCCTGTAACCTGTCTAGCAAAAAGTCCTCCAAGCCCCCTATTTCTTGCCTCAAAGGGTGTGTGTGTGAGACCATCCTATTAACTCTGCTGCCAGAGCTATTAGCATATATATCAAGGTCATTTGGAGCTGCGGTGGCTCAAGTGGTTAAGGCGCTGAACTGCAGGCTGTGGAAGGTCAGTCGTTTGACAGTTCGAGACCCGAGTGTGCCGCATGACGGAGTGAGCTCCCATCTCGAGTCCCAGCTCCTGCCAACCTAGCCGTTTGAAAGCAAGAAATTGCAAGTAGATAAATAGGTACCACTTCGTTGGGAAGGGAACAGCGTTCCGTGCGCCTTGGTGTTGAGTCATGCCGGCCCCATGACCACGGAAACGTCTTCGGACAGCGCTGGCTCTTCGGCTTTGAAACGGAGATGAGCACCGGAACCCTAGAGTCGGATTCGACTGGCTTTCGAGCAAGGGAAGCTTCACCTTTACCTAAGCATTTGGAATGACTTCCCTCTTCCTGTTTGTTCTAAGCCCAGAGAAAAAAATAATGGTTAAAAGTACAGTGGAGCCCTGCTTGTTGCTAACCTGCCTGGAGACAAGGCATTTCTCCACAGTTGCCATATACCCTCCATGAATCTGTCTGATCTCTTTTTAAAGCCATCTATGCAAAAAAAAACACAAAACCCCACACCAGTGTTCCCTCTAAGCTGAGTTGGCGTGAGCTGGCTCAGAGCTTTTTTAGCCTCCAGCTCACACATTTTTGTCTCGCCTCAGGCAGGATGGCTACAGAGCCAACTAATTTATGCAGCAGCCAAACCGCTCACTCACAACTTTCATGCCAGTAGCTCACAAAGTAGGATTTTTGCTCAAAAGACTCCACAGCTTAGAGGGAGCATTGCCCCCCATTTACTGTGGCCCTAGACTCCTGAAGTTTTTGTCCATGTAGTTGTTGTGATCCCCAGCATAACCTTTTTGGGAGGTCACATGGGACTCTTCCTCTCTTCGTCGACGGTGGGAAATGTGACTGTATCCCCCCCCCAAGCCATTTTCAGTAGGTCGCATTCTCTATACGAACCTTCTTCCCTTTGCCATTGAATTCTGTTTTCCCATCTCTGCGCTTTCCAGGTTGCGGTTTGTAACTTGGCTTCCATAGCCCTGAATATGTATGTCACCCCAGAGCACACTTACGACTTCAAGAAGCTGGCGGAGGTCACCGGGGTCATCGTCCGAAATCTGAATAAGATCATTGATATCAATTACTACCCTGTGCCGGAGGTAGGAAGAAGGGGCTTCGGGACTGGTGGGTGTTGGGGGAAGTGTATAGCAATCGTAAGAATAAGTGAAGTCAGTGTTGGATCAGGCCAACGGCCCGTCCAGTCTAACACTCTGTGTCACACAGTGGCCCAAAACCCAGGGGCCATCAGGAGGTCCAGCAGTGGGGACAGGACACTAGGAGCCCTCCCACTGTTCCACCCCCAAGCACCAAGAAGACAGAGCATCACTTGCCCCAGAGTCCCTATCTATACCTTGTGGCTAATAGCCACTGATGGACCTCTGCTCCATATGTTTATCCAATTCCCTCTTGAACCCACCCATGCTTATAGCTGCCACCACTTCCTGTGGCAGTGAATTCCATGTGTTAATCACTCTTTGGGTGAAGAAGTACTTCCTTTTATCCATTCTAACCCGACCGCTCAGCAATTTCATGGAGTGCCCACGAGTTCTTGTATTGTGAGAAAGGGAGAAAAGTACTTCTATCTCTACCTGCTCTATCCCATGCATAATCTCATAAATTCATTAAGAGGGTTGATTGAGCTTCGGCAAATGAGATTTGTTCAACATCTTAGCTAGCCTCACTTAGCACCTAGAGGTCTAGGAGTCCTTCACTGTCTTGCTTGCTCCTGAGAGCCAGTTTGTGGTTAAGTGGTTAAGTGCACAGACTCTAATCTGGAAGAACCAGGTTTGATTCCCTACTTCTCCACATGCAGCCAGCTGGGTGACCTTGGGCAAAGCTGTAGCTCTGATAAGAGCTGTTCTTGGAAAAAAAGAGCAGTTTCTGTCAGAGCTCTCTCAGCCCCACCTACCTCACGGGGTGTCTGTTGTGGGGAGGGGAAGAGAAAGGAGTTTGTGAGCCGCTCTGAGACTCCCTTGGGTAGTGAAGGGCGGGGTATAAACCCAATCTCTTCTTCCCCAAGAACTGAATTGGCTCTTTGCATTAAACTGAACACATGAAGCTGCCTTCTACTGAATCAGAGCCGTGGTCCTTCAGGGTCAGTATTGTCTACTCAGACTGGCAGTGGCTCTCCAGGATTTCCAGTAAAGGTCTTTCATATCACCTGCTACCTGGTCAGGTCAGATCATAATTTTATTGCAGTCGCTAGACCAGTCATATACATATAATGATTTTTTTATACCTGGTCCTTTTAACTGGAGATGCCTGGGATTGAACCTGCCATCTCTCGTTAAAAGGATCAGGCGGTCCGTGGGAGACCTGGGTGGCTCACTGGTAGAGCATCTGCTTGACACGCAGAAGGTCCCAGGTTCGCTTTCCGACATCTCCAATTTAAAAGGGCCAGGCATTAGGTGATGTGAAAGACCTCCCGCCTGAGACCCCGGAGAGAGAGCCGCTGCCCGTCTGAGTAGACCTTGGTGACCTTGGTGGACCAAGGCTCTGATCCAGGATAAGGCTGCTGCATGTATTCACGTGACAAACTGGGGACTGGATCGAGTGTTGTGTGAAGAATCCAGGATTACTTCCTGTGCTGTTCTTAGCTGAGTACCAATTCAAAGGCTAGCAAAGCAGGAATTTGGGCCCAGATAAATGAGAATTAAAGGTAAAGGAGCTGCGGTGGCTCAGGTGGTT